ACGTGTTGTCGCGCGTGGTTTACACGTTTTGACAACGAAGCAAACGAAAAATGCCCGTTATGACACAGATTATCAATGCTGTTGGTTGGTTCTGCTATACATACTGCTTCTGTTTTGCACATGATCTTCGCTATACCACGTATTACTGCTCCTGTTGCTTTTGCTGTTGCTGCGGCTGGTGTTATTGATGTTGCTACTGGTGCTATCACTGTCTTTGCTGTTGCTGTTCATATCATTACACCACAATGTAAGGGAACATAGTACAAAACCGAACATATGAACTCGTCACAAGAATAAACACTCACGAAACGCATGAACTAGCTGAACCCACAAAACGCAGGAATCCACAATGTCGATTTCGGAAACCCCAAGCCCTAAACCCTAGAATCCTACTGCTGGTGATATAAATCCTGCATTACCCATAATAAGGAATATACCCTAATCTAATTCCCATAGTCTAGGGTCATTAAGGTAATGCAGGATTTATATCATCAACCGTAGAATCGTAAAGATAAGACCTAGAGACTCCACCATCCCTTAATTAAGGAATCTGCCTCAAACTAGAAGAGGCTCCCTAGCGGCCCTAGCATGATGTAGGTGTATATTCCTCAATTGAGGGATATGCCTCAAATTGTAATAAGATCTCCCTAATAACCCTAAACCCTAAACCCTAATATGATTAAGGTATATTCACGCCATCTCGTGCCTTGGTCATGTACAAAACTCAAGGCGCTGCCGATAGCCGAGATCACCTCCACAGCTGGGGGTTTCGGAAAATAAGGGACCCTAATATAGTGCCCTTAATAGTAGGATCCATATTATAAGGATCCTGAAATAAGGTACCCCTTAATTTTCAGAAACTCCAAAGCTGAGCGTGGCCAAAGCAGAGCTGGAGTTGGAAATCTGGTATGTGGGGTAGGTTTAGAGTTCAGGGTCTAGGGTTTAGAGCTCAGGGTTTAGGGATACTTCAACAGCACCCGAGCTCAGTGGTTCACTCTTCTCACTTCTCTACTCCCTCTCGCACCCTGCGGACGAAGCTGGCGTCGAAGGGTCCAGCCAGGGTGCGGCGCCGCTGTTCGAAGAGGCTGTGCAAGTCCCCTGAAGAGGAAACTTCAGCTTCGAGACTCCGCCGTCCGGCATGCTGAAGTAACGTCTACTATGATATACTACAGTATACGTAATATGATCCCAATCCAATATGAATATATATGAATATTTTTGTAGAATGAATAGAAAGAATCGTAGTACACCCCGAGCACGAGATCCTTCGTGGACCCTGGCCGTTCTAGGAATCCGTTTCAGCCCAGCTGCCGCCATCCATCAAGTCCAACACCATCCACCTTCGACTGGTTCTTAGTAGGGAATGGGGGATAATCCCGAACAGTCGTCCCCATCATTCCCCCATTCCCTACTAAGAACCAGACAGTTGACAATTCGAGCAAGTGAACCGAGGCTCCGGGGACTCCAAAACCCCTTAATTAAGGAATAGAGCTTAGATCAGAATAGGATCCTTAATATGGGTTAAGGTATATTCCTTAATTAAGGGGTTTTAGAGTCCCTGAGTTCCTTTGGATGGACCCTTGACACTGCAAGACCTCTCAACCATGCCAAGGAACACGCTGCTGTTTTCGCCTGCAACACAGGCTGAGGCAATGGGAAACAGGTGTCTAGCGACGCAAGCTTGTAAATGGCAGCAAGTTGGTGGGATATCGCCACAAGCGAAAATCATGTGCGACATGCTGCACTGCGCCTTGTCCATCATAGAACCACTCGTAACAGCCTGGGTAGTTGTCCAGTCCATGTTGGCACTTCCCACATGCATGACCTCCTCCTCTCATTTAATCTGACATAATCTGACATAATCTGATATATATATATATATATATATACATATAAAATACAACCTCATATCATACCATATACATAATTCGATGTTACACAATATCTTATCATATCATATCATATAGCATGATACAAGTATCATACAAGAGGGTATGATAATTTATAATTCTCCAAGCAGCGCAAGATGTGTTCGTGCTGCCACTGGGCGAGCAAAGAAGCCTCCATCTCGGCCTGGTTCAAAGCAGAGGCATTCTGGGCTTTCTCCCTGGTGCTTAGTAGGGAATGGGGGAATGGATCCCTATAGTAGTCCCTCTATAATCCCCAATAATAAATAGTCCCGGGTTTAGGGTTTTGGGTGCATGGGAACAGCGATAGTACTTAGGGCTTCGGGGTTTTAAGGGCTTAGGGTGTGTTACATCACTTGAGTTCCGATGTTGCTGGGGGACAACCCGTGCCGTAGCCGAAAGGATGGATAAGAGCCGTGGCTGTGTCAGGAGGGCAGAATGAAGATGTCACCGCCGCCGCCCCCCCCGACCCTGTAAGACGCCCAAATATGTCGGCAAGTGTAGCGACATGCAACTACAGCTTTGATCATCTTTTCGGCCGCGCCTCTTTCGCAGCCTCCACCCGCCTGCCAGGGCGCAGACGGTCGACATGTCTGGACGATGTTCTCTCCTAAACCCTGATCCCTAAACCCCATGACCTGCCCCAAAGCTCCATCATTGCTCCCTTGACAGCCTTTTGAAACTGGGCTTGCTGGCTGAAACCCTCAGCCCAAAACCCCGAATCTCTAACCCCCTCTGAGGCTCCAGCTTGCAAGGCACTGCTTTCAGTGCCCGTCGCAAGCCAGGCGAGCTCAAGTCCTGACAACGATTAGGGTTGAGGGTTTAGGGGATTCGGGATTAGGGTTCAGGGTTTAGGGATCAGGGTTTAGGGGTTTAGGGGTTTAGGGGTTCACGGGTTTAGGGGTTTAGGGGTTTAGGGGTTTAGAGGGGTTTAGGGGTTTGGTGGTTTGGGGGTCTGGGGGTTTAGGGGTCTGGGGGTTTAGGGGTTTGGGGTTTTGAATAGACTAAGGAGGACTGCAGGTCCTCTTCAATTCTGATGAGTTGTGACATCCTATTCAAAGTTTGTGTGTGCGTGTGTATAAATATAATGTGTGTGTGTATATATATATACAGATATACACATACATGCATGCATACATACATATTCATGTTAGATACTTCATTGTTACCACATGCAGAAAGATGTCTATATATATATATATATATATATACGCATACATATACATCTATGCATGCGAGCTGGGGCGAGCGCATTTGTCACATTTCAGCTGTTCCTGGTTGTTCAACTACACCCCTTTCGAAAAATCCAGACTCTAGACCACATCGAAAAAAGCTTAACTCCTAACCCTGGAAACCCCAAACAGCCTTAACTCCTAACCCTAGAAACCCCAAACCCTAGAAACTAAACAGTAAGCCGCTTGTCAGCGTCCTCGCCCACGTAGATTTTGCCTCAGCCCCGGGGATCTACTACGTCGTGACTCGCCCTCTCTCAGGAAAGGGGCGGAGACTCCAAAATCCCGTAGCCAAGGTATATGCATTACACCATAACACAAGCACAATAAGAGCAAGAGGAATAAGAATAACGGCAATACTCATAAGACTAGTACTACAGATAGTACTCGTAATACTTGCCACTCTTACTATTGTTACTCTTGTTCTAGCAATGACACTCATCGTTACTAGTACTAGTCGTAGTAATAGTAGTAGTAGTAGTAGTAGTAGTAGTAGTAGTAGTAGTAGTAGTAGTAGTAGTAGTAGTAGTAGTAGTAGTAGTAGTAGTAGTAATGATAACAATAGGAATACCATTCGTACAAACTCATATTCTAGCAATGATAAGAGTACCCCAAACCCCCTTAAACCCCTAAACCCTGAACCCTAAAACCCCTAAGCCCCTAAAACCCCTAAACCCTAAGCTCTAAATAGTACCCTTATACATCCCTTTAAAGATCCCTTAAAAGATCCCTTAAAGGATCCCTAAAGGATCCCTAAACCCTAAACCCTAAACCCTAAACCCTAAAGGATCCCTTAAAGGAGCCCCCCTTTGGGGAGCCGACCGAAGGAGCCATGGCCCAAGGGCTCCGAGGCTTCGAAAGCCGCCGAGGCCTCGCCGGCGCGGCAGAGCAGCATCCCCGGTGTCCGCGAGGACTTCGGCCTGCTTTAAAGGGGCTTTAGGGCGTTGTCGGGTTTTGGGGGTTTTAAGGCTTAAGGTTTAGGGTTTAAGGGTGGTTTTTAGGGGCTTTAGGGCTTTTTATGGTTTTGGTGGATTTTTAGGGCTTAAGGTTTAAGGTTTAAGGGTGCTTAGGGCGTTTAGGGTTTTTGTTAAACTATGTTGACGGCCCTTTCTCCTGAACGCGGCAGCCCTTTTCGGGCCCATAGCGTTTAGGATGTTTAGGGTTTAGGGGTTTACGGTTTGGGGCTGGGAGGTCCTAGGAAGGACTTCGGCCTGCGTTCAAGGGGTTTTCGGTGGTTTTTAGGGCGTTCAGGGTTTAGGGTCTTAAGGGGTGCGGTTTTTTTAGGGTGTTTAGGGTGTAGGGTCTTAAGGGGTTTCGGGAATTTTAGGGTGCTTAGGGTTGAGGGTCTTAAGGGGTTTCGGGGTTTTAGGGTGTTTAGGGTTTAGGGTCTTGAGGGGTTTCGGGTGATTTTGTTTTGGTCGTAATGGGTTTAGGGTGTTTGGGGTGTAGGGCTGGAACTCGGCTTTAGGCCAAGAGCCTTCGGGTTCAGGGTTCTGCGTTTATTTCGGATTTACCCAGAGAGCCCCAAGACCCCTTAATTAAGGAATATACCTTAAATTATAAGGGGCTTCATATTATGATTTACGCTATATTCCTTAATTAAGGGGTATTGGGCTCTCCGGCTGGGTAGGCTGCAAAAGGCTGCAAAAGGCTGGCCTGGCCTCACCGCGGGAGTTGCCAGGCCACGCTGCTTGGGCCAAGCAAGCTGGGAGAAGAGAGGCAAACACTGCAAGTGCGCACATGCCATGACTTCTCGTAGTCATCCACTCCACTCATCTCGGAGACGCAACACAGGAGAACATGTAACACATTAGACAGGTGAAAAGAAAAACCTGCAAGGAATCTGACGATGCAGCAGCTCCTGATCCGGTGTCCTTTGCTCTATAAAGCACCTGGGCTCAAGCACGAAGACACAAGGCCCTTCCAGTTCCAGCGTAACTTTCAGGGGACGCATCTCTCAACAGTTGGGAACAAGCCTTCATAAAAACACTGTCGGGTTTAGGTTTTAGGAGACTCCAATATCCCTTACTTAAGGAATAGTCCTTAAATCATATCAGGGATCTCGTGGGCTGATAGCACCGGGTTCCCGGCTCCGCTTTGGAGTACGACTTGATGGCGCCGAGCACCGCTCCGCCTTCGGATTACAGTCTTGCAGAAGCCGTGGAACGACTGCGCTCAGCCGCTACCAGAAAGAGCAGCAATAACAATCGTAACCACAATAATTTATAATGGTAAAAATGGTTCGTAACAGTACTAATAGTAGTCGAAGTCATAGTAGTAATCGTAGTATCTTAACCATGATAGCCACCGTAACAATTGTAGCACAAGTGAGAAAAAGAGGGCCAGGCACCAGTCAAGACGGAGCACTTGTCCTGGCCTTTTCCGACAACGAGGCCAACCTTGGCCTGGGGGATTTCGAACTGAACCTGCAAGAAAAGCAAGAGCCGAGAGCAGGACGTGTATGTGCATGTGTGCATATGTATATATGTACGCGTACATGCATACATCCATAGTGACATGCATGCATGCATGCATGCATGCATGCACGCATGCATGCATAAATACATCTCCACATATTCTTGCATGTTATTTTATCTTTATGTACTCTTCACTCTTCATTTGTATTTACATCTGTCTATGTTCGCATGTCCTAGGATTTCTGCGACTTTCGAAGGTCCCACGGCCTGAGATTGATTTGGGGCCGCCTGTGGCGCCGGAGCCGTGGCTCCTTCGGGTGTCAGAAGTGAGGGATCTTCTTAGGGTTTAGGGCTCTATATAGGCTTTAGGCTTTAGGGTTTAGGAGAGAGCACCGTGGGGTTTAGGGCCTAGGGTTTCGGTTAAGAGGGTTCTTAGAAACCCTCTTCTTTAAGGGAGCAACTTAGGGTGTATAGGGCTTCGGCTACTGCTTTGAGCTGCTTGCCGGATGCCCAAGGCGACTGATAATCCAACAGATTTAGCCACCCTTGTCCTTTTAGAAATACCTATATCCCTTATTAGTAGGAATTATTTAAGAAGGTCTACTAGCCGGTCTGTTTATTCTTTTGGGGGAACCATGAAAAAGGACAAGGCCGGATTTAGCAGGTGCAGCTCCTCCAGCAGCTGGTGGCGGCACAGCTGCCGGAAATCCTGACCGAAGCCAAGTCAGAGCTCAGGAGGAAGGAAAAGGGCTGAGGGTTTAGGGCTTACGGTTTAGGGGTTTAGGGTTTAGGGGTGTAGTGTTTAGGAGTCTAGGCTTTAGGGCTCAAAAGCTGATGCTTGCACCCCACACATGCATTCCCAACCCTTTCAGATACTGACAGTTTCTGCACACGACTTCTATGGCTGACACTTGTGAGAAGGGCTATCGTGCTATACCGCAAGGGTGGTACAAGGTACTGGAGGGCTCGGCTAAGGGTACTATACAAGGTGTTTCATACGGATCCGATCCTACAGGGACCTTAGTCCTAACCCCCCTAAACCCAAACCGTCAACCAGCTTTATAAAACTGTCATTACTATTGCATGTATACTACTGCTGTAAGTATGATGATTCTTGCGATTATCACTATTGCTGTTATTGGCAGCAGCAGCAGCAGCAGCAGTCATATCATAAGTGTTCCTCTTCTTATAAGTACTGCTATTTTCACTGTTACTACTGCTGCTGTTACGGATAGGAGAACCCTAAACCCTAAACCCTAAAACCTAAACCCTAAAAACTAACCCTAAACCGTGGAGACGTGCGAGATGCGAGCCTCCTGGCCCAGGCGGCGCCGTCGGAGGCCGTACAGCTGCAGTGGCGCCGGCCTGGGATGTCAGGGTCGCTTCTCTTATGATTAGGGTGTAGGGTTTAGGGTGTAGGGTTTAGGGTCTCAGATTGAGCAACTGCTCTTCAGTCAACAGACAACTAGACTTTGGGGGTTTGGGATTTATTGTCAAGTACGTAACAAACAGAGTTTGGGGCTTAGGATTTAAGGGTTTAGGGTTTAGGGTTTAAGGGTTTAGGGTTTAGGGTTTAGGGTTTAGGGTTTAGGATTTAGGGCTTAGGATTTAAGGTCATCCGACCATTTATACCTTTTGTTGCTTGGCTGCTGGCCACTCGGATTTAAAGCCTACTTGTCGGGTATGGTGGGGAACTAATGTTAACCTTTCTGGTTATATAGGGATTATATAGGGGCTATACTACCCCAAAAAGGTTAAAGGTTACCTGAAAGATGCCGCAGCCTGAGGCTACGACCAGTGCCGGTGCTAGTCCTCCTGCTGGCGGCTGCAGCCCGGGCATGGCTGTCAACCTCCAGTCTCAACAGGAACCGACGGTTTAGGGTTTAGGGTCTAAGGTTCAGAGCTACCAGAAAACACCCCTAAAAAAACTGCGAGACCTAGAGGGAGCCCCTTAGTAGAGTTTAGGGTTACCCCAAAACCCGAAATCACATCCACCCCCCCTCAAAGAAAAAATCAAAAGTCTGCCCCTTAAAGCGGCCCAGCCATGTCTGAGCTTCCCGACGGCGCCATGGGAAGCGGCGCTCCCTCCTTGGGGAAAGGGAGCCCGGCCTCAGAAGGATCCACAACTGGAGACCGAAACAAGACTGAGAACAAGAAGAAATGGAAGAAAAACTGTGATGATAGTTTAGTGATGCTAGTAGTAATAGTAGTCATGTACTAGTCACCATCACAGTCATAGTTATGATGGCGGTTGTAATAGTTGTCTTCACCACCTTATATACTTTTGAGACTAACCATAACCATCATCAACGTCTGGGCTTCGCACAGGGCCAGTGGCCGAGGCACCCAGTGGAACCACTGGCGGCACCACCGGAGGCACCACGGGTGGCACCACGGGTGGCACTCCTGGCAAGCTGAAGGGCTGGATTCCGCAGAGGTTTCGAGCTCCCCGCAACACCTAAACGTGAAACCCTTTGAACCCTGAGCCCTATAGAACCCTACCACCCTTTGTACAATCCACTGGGGTAGTTGTCAAAATTGGGGTCCCTTTTGGGTACCCTAAATATTAGATGCCGTACTATAATCGGAACCCAACAAGGGACCATCATTTTGACAACCACCCATATAATATATACATGGGCCTTAAAGTAGTCCCTATATGGGTACTTTAGGGCCAAGGTATCTAGTATATGGGTACTTGGACCCGACTGAATGCCACAAAAAAAAAATCTCACCTAAACCTTAAACCCTTTGAATCCTGAACCCTATAGAACCCTACCACCCTTTGTAAAATCCACCAAAAATGCCCCCCAAAAAATTCTCTGCCTGTCAGAGGCCCAGGAGGCCCAGGAGGCCGCACCAGCTGTCCAGGTCCTGCACACCATGACATGTTTAGGTTCTACAATCAAAGGGGAAAAGGAGGGACCCTTCATGGGGATCCCTACCCTATAATGGGCCATATAATGGGTATATAATTGTTATATTATGGGTATATACCTAGGGGTCCTCATTAGGGGTCCCTCCTTTTACCCTTTGATATAAGGGATCCTCTAAGGGTTCCTTTAAAGGGTTCCTTAGAGGGATCTATAGGGGTTCTATAAAGGGTCTAGGGTTTAAAGTTTCCGAAAATTAGGGGTACCATATGTTGGGAACCTGATAATAAGGATCCTACTATTTAGGGCCCTATATTAGGGTCGCTATTTCGGAAACTCCCATATTACTATAATGTGTTAGTAATATTTTACTATATTATGATATTACAGAACAACATATTTCTATAGCTCCTGCACACATGATGATATGATATTACTATACTACGAGATTAGTACTTTAGTATATTCCTATATTATCTTATTACTTAATACTATACTACTACATTATGATATTACTATGATATGAGATTATTATATTAGTATATTACTATAATGCTATAATATGATAGTAGTACTTTACTATATTACGGTCTTGAATATTAACATAACACTAGAGTCACTGTATAGTGATAGTCTTATAACATTATATTATGATATCGCTCACCTTCGGGAACTCTTCCCAGCACCCTCTGCCTGCTGGCATGGCCGTGATGCCCGTCCCGGGCTGCATCGGCGGCCTGTCGTAGCTCAACACATCGAAACGGTACATCCAGGACCTCAGAGAGGAAACCTAATCCCTCAACCCTGAACCCTAAACCCTGAACCGTAAACCCGAAACCCTTAAACCCTAAACCCCAAACGCGAAACCCCTAAACCCTAGACCCCAAACCGATCTAAACTGCAGTGGCTGAGAAAGAAATGATCGCAGGATGCCTGATCATCGAGCCGCATGGCGCTGCCGCCCCTTTGGGAGCCTGAGGTGTCTGATATTATGTGATAAAACATATGAGAGATGGTACATGGCATAAAACATGTGGTACATAACACATATTATATGATATATGGTATATGGTACAGAATATATTATATCATATAGCATATTATGATATCTTATGCTATATGATACAGAATATGTGATCTTGCACGGAGCATCAGCTGATGCCCCAGGAGCTCAGGTCACGGCCTTCGAGGGAAGAGGAGCAGGGGCCAGCTCCCCAGGCTCCAGCTCACCTGAGAAGGTTTTGTGTTTTAAGGTGCAAACAGCGTCAGCCTGCCTCATTGAGGCCTGTTTAGGGTTTAGGGTTTAGACCATAAGAAGAAGAAGAGGAAGAAGAGCAACAATAGTAAAAATCTGTAGTAGCCAGCTCACCAGGCTCCAACTCACCTGAGACAGCGCGGATAGGGTAGAATAGTATACATCTTACATCATGCTATATCATACTATACTACAATGACTAGTTATACTATAAAATGTTATGTTGTACTATATCATACTGTAGCATCTGAAACTGCATTGCATTCTGTTAGATAGTGTTAGACCTGAGAAAGAGGGGGAGCTCACCACAAAAATACAAAGAAGAAAAACAATAATAGCAACAACAGTACCAATCATAACAATAATAGTAGGCGCAAAAGAACAGAATAATACTAATTAGAATAGCAATATTAATCTCAAGAAGAACAAGAAGAATCACAATAATGATCGTAATAATCGCAATAACAATAAGGCACAAATGTGCAGGACGTCACGATCCCTGAGCATAGCTAAACGACGGCGACCCACGCTCGCCAACTGCGCAAACGGCAAAGTCGAGAAAGGTGGACCCAGAGCCTCCAAAAACCCCTTACTTAAGGAATATACCTTAAATCATATTAGGGATCCTAATCTGACTTAAGGTATATTCCTTAAGGGGTTTTGGAGGCTCTGGGGACTGTGGACTGAAGGTTGAGCCCGAGGCCCAGCGCTTTCTTCAGGTGCAGCACTGCCTCATCTTCGGTGATGTCCGCCATCCTTTGGCAAAGTGCAAAGTGTGTGGCAACTCTAGATGACATAGGGCTTCTGTTGGGAATTCTGTGCCATCCCTTGGCAAAGTGTAAAGTGTGTGCAACTCTACATGGGGGTTTGCGGCTAAAAGCTTCGGGACTGAATGGGCTCAGCTGTGCGGGCTCCAGATTTGGGTGTCCGGCTGTGGGCTACGGCTTCTGTTGAGAATTCTGTGCCATTGAAAAAGCAAATGCCAGGCACATGCCGGGGTAGTTTCGAGTTCACACCTCGTGTTGCATCTCGCTCCTCGGCAAGGCAAAGGAAATCTCGAGAAATTTATGCGTGCTTCTAAGCTACTCAACCCGACATTTCTACAAGCCTACACCATATCGAAATGCGACATTTGTATCGTAGCGTCATAACCTGAAGTGCATGCGACAGGATCTCCTACCCGAAAAGCCAGCAACAGGCTGACGCGAACACGAATCTCCATCTAGTGAAATGGCCTTGGCTTTGCTGAGTCCTGCAGGGCAGTGAGCCGGCCACAATCCGCCAAAAGGCAGCCGGCAAAGCAGATTACACGTGGCCAAACCAATGCCTAACTGCTAGGTTCATGCATGGGAATTCCAGCCCAAAGATGCTTCCTTTGCATACGAATTTGTTGCTATGCGAAACACTGGATCTGCGCAGCTTACAGAACAAATCGGACACGTTGGGTTCGACCTTGAATTGTCCATGTTCCCCATGCTGGCTAAGAGCCTAAACGGCGTGTTTTTGCGGAACTCCAATCTACAGATGTACAAGATACTGTAGTGCATGGCCCATGCGGGCCTGTTTGAAGCAGCTTTCCTCTGGCTGGCAACAACAACTAGACGGTTTAGGGTTTAGGGTTTAGGGTTTAGGGTTTAGGCCTTTTAAGAAGACACCGTCATGAAACACAGAATGCCTGCTGCATTAGGCGATGATCTAAACACAACCTCCAGCTGAACACTTTGCTCGTGCTACGCATGAACACTAAGGAAATGGCCTGGGTTCCCAGAGCCTCCAAAACCCCTTAATTAAGGAATATACCTTAAAGTATAGTAGGATCCATAATATGACTTAAGGTATATTCAGTATATTCCTTAATTAATGGGTTTTGGAGGCTCTGGGTTCCGTGTTCCGGGAGTCTTCTGGCTGCGATTGCATCCCGCTGCCGAAACTCCAAGACTTTGCCTATGACACGAGTCCGCCATGGATGTTCCCAGAGAGCCCAATACCCCTTAATTAAGGAATAGAGCTTGAATAATACGAAATTCTTATTATGATTTAAGCTATATTCCTTAATTCAGGGGTATGGGGCTCTTTGGGTTGAACTTTGGGCCTCGGCCCATTCGCTGCATACTGTCAGGAAGTCACACACTCAGGGAGGGCTAGCGAGGATCCCAGAGGCTAGCCCCTTCTGGGCTCGAGAATGAAACACCCCTAGGGTTTACTTGGAAAGGCAGGGGACTTAGTAAGTAGGTTATAAGTAGGGTTATAATTGGGGTAACTCTATTTAGGGTACTTATAACTCTACTTATAACCTACTTACTAAGTCCCCTGCCCTTCCAAGTAGGGTTTAGAGTTTAGGCCCTATCCCTTTGCCAGTTCGCATGGCTGCCTATGGGCTTGCTTTGTTTTGCATCCCCCCCCGGTTCCTGCGACGCCGTACTGTGTCATGCATGGGCCTTTCGGGTTCACGAGCTCCCGCGGCGAATCCAAAAGACTCGCCATGGCAGGCATATAGCTGCATATTCCTAAATCAATGGGTATGGGGCTCTTTGGGTCATAAGGACCCAGGGACTACATTTCGGCCTTGTTATGCATGGAAAGTGAAGCTCGTGCATGGTATCAAAGGGTTGTCGATGGTGTTAGCCGCCTTGCTTGGCAAGCGTGGCACACAAATGAAGAAGTGAAAAGGAAGCTGTACGAGGGCCGTTGAAACCACTGCCCACACGATTGTCTTCTGGCCTTCTACTTTTGCAAATTGTCAGCTGCACTGGACTTGTCACCCCTCTTTGCAATGGCGAGATTGTCAGAGGGTGCAGCATCAGACTGGTCGGCCAGTACCACCGGCGTTTTGGGATTACGCTGCCGAACAGGAAGCTTACAGGCTCCTCCAGCAGTTCAGCCGTGACTTTCTTGCAAGCATCATTCCATCGCGATCTTCTTCTGGGGCTCATCCGGCTGCAGCCACCTCCGGATGTCAACCTCGATGTAGCGGTATCCTTTCCGCTCTAGCCATGCGACTTCTGCTTTCTGCGAGTTTCCCAAACCTCCCAGGTTGGTCCATACACGTGTCAATAAACACAAGCACTCACTTGCTGGACTATCTATAACTTATATAGTATCATAGGAACCCAAGGCCAAATGTGCAAAATCCTACCGCTTTGGCAGCCAGCCTTCGGACTGTTTCAAGAAACGTGCGTCTGCAATCGGGAGCCACTGTAGGAAGAGTCTGTGTTTCTCTCTGCTGTGTTGCGAGGAGGAGTCGTAGCGCTTGTTTTTGCATAGATTCTCGATGCCGGCGTTGTTGGCGCATCGATATTCTTCAGACTCCTCAAACTCGTTCATTCTCGCGAAGATGGCTTCCCTTCTGAGATTCTCTTGCCCGGCGGTGTCAAAGTTCTCCACTTTACCCTGCCCACATGCTTGCTGGAAGAAATACACGTGGAGCTCAGCGCCGCATTGTACCGCTTTCTCAACATTCTCAATCCATAATGCCCACCACCTACAGCCCCAAGGCTTTTGCTCTCCGTACAGAGGGGTACACCAGCAATCACCCACCAAACCTTCGGAGTTCGGGATGTTGCTGTGCTTTCCAAACTCCTTTGTGCCTTCCGGCAGGAAAACCACGGCGGCACTCGTCTCCCCAACGCGTGCACTCTCGACCAAGCAATCCCAAGCCGTAGCATATTTGCCAGGCCAAGAAGTGATGCATGGCTTCCCCTTTTCCTCCATCACCGTACCTTGAAACACAATGGTTTCCTCTAGAACCAACCGGCGGGAACCTTCGCGAAGAGAACCATGCGTCTGGCCATCCGGCAAGATCGAGCGAGCCCAGGTGCCACAAAAAGCGCCGACAAAGAGGCAGAAGGCGTACATGCTGGGGTGGTGTTGGAGAAGTTCCTCCGGATCCTCCGTTCCATCAAGGTTACCGACGAGCACGACAATCGCAGCAACTCCAGCCGCAATGCTACACAGAGCTGCGCACCCTCCAACCGCTTCGCAAAAGCGAACACACCCTCCCATCCTTGAAGCTGCCAGGTAGAGGAGAAAACACAGCAGTGCCATGCCAAGTCCGGCGCAAGCTTGAGACAAAAGGCCCATGAAGGCGAAGCTCGGAATGATAACAACGCCGGCACACACTATCACGAAGACCCAGATGATTGCAGCCCTTCGAGCGGTCCGTTCCACTTTGGCGTCGGACAGCTTCTTCCTGCGTTGCCGCTCTTCTGTCTCCTTCTGAACGGCTTTCTGCTCGTTGGCGACCCAGCTGCTTGCTTTGGAGCTAAACACTTCCAGGTCTTTTGACGTGCGCAAGCACGACTCCGGACCCAATGCGCAGCCTTGGCCAACGGTGGACATGACAGCTGGGTCCTCTCGCAAGCGGATGCTGAAGCTTTCTTTTGTCAGCTCACGCTTTCGATTGGGATACAAGATGCGCCATCCACGGCCGTTGTCCACTTCTACTGCAGCATCAAGGTCGTTGACCAATTGAACTCCACCACCAGGCACGTCTTGGAGGTACATCTCGGACCATTCTTTGTGTGCCTCTGCCTTCATTTCTTCACTAAATGAACCTAAATCCTTAGAGGTGTGGAGATTCTTGCCCTGTGAGACCAATTCATCCGTGCCTATCCTCCACATCCGTGTTCGATCAGCGCTGAGTCGGATGGCAAAGCCTTCCCTCGCCATTTGGCGAGACTGCCAAGACTCCAGCGCTTGCCATCCGTCTCCAAGATCCAGCTCAACAGCGCTACGGAGGTCGTTCAGCAGTGAAACAGTGAGCTCAGCAGCGGGCTCGGGTTCAACCCGAGTGCCATGAAACAAACGGCTTCCCATCGTGCACGGAAGTACAAATTTACTAATGATCATATAGAGAATGAACTGAATTCTCACGTACTCGTTGAGGTGATATGGGGGCGGTACTTCAGCAGAGCTGCGACAGCTACGACTTGTATAAATCTCGATGTCGGGGCTCCTTTGGAGAGGGCTTCATAAGACCGCCTGCTTGGGCCATCAGGAAGATCTTGAGCCACAGGGGATCCTGAACCTGCAGCAATCGTTTGCAATCGAGAAAGCGTGTCGAAAGTGTCTGTGGCCCTTGCCCCAAAATAGTGCATCGCTGGAGCCTCTAGTTAACGGTTGGACGCATACGAATGTGACTGACGGTTGATGCACCTGCTGCACTTGCTGTTCTCTGCTGACTTGTAAGACTCCTCCTCGATGGTGGCGGCTGCGGCGGTGGCAGTGATGGCGGTGATGGTGCATAGCTTCTGAGGGCTTCAGTTCTGAGAACATGCTATATATATATATATATACATATACATATATATATATGTGCTATGTCATGTTTGAGGACACATGTCTGAATGTCAAACAGGTATGCGTCTGGATGGGCGATGGTGATGCTGGTCGTGCTGCTGGTGGTGCTGATGGTGCTGATGGTGCTGATGGTGCTGATGGTGCTGATGGTGCTGATGGTGCTGATGGTGCTGTCGGTGATGAAGGTGGTGCTGCTGATGGCGTTAATGGTGGTGATGGCGGTGACAGCGGTGATGATGACGGTGGTGCCGGTGAAGATGGCAGTGATGGCGGTGATGGTGGTGATGTTGGTTGAAATGCCGACCTGGATCGGGCGACTGTGATGGCAATGGTGCGGGTGAAATGGAGTTGTGGTAGTCAAAATAAGAATGAGGAAGACAATCATGCTGTTTATGATGGCGATGATGATGATGATGATGAGAGCATGCCGTGAAGAGGCTGCAACAAACAAATGTGTCAAAGTGTGTAGCAACTCAGGCTGCATTCCGGTTCCATCCATGGGTTCAGGCCCAGTGTGTTGTCTACCAACCTCAAAACCGCCGTAATTCAAAAGCGACAACAACGGATCAGAAGATAAAGCAAGGTTCTCTCCGCTGCTCGCAGCAGAGGTACTAAAGCTGATCCACTGCTGGAATGCTGCAAGCCCAGCTGAAGCATGAGGGCTCAATTCTGCTTGTAACATGGTGTTGTTGTCCTTTACGGTGAAAAATGGTTCTTTGTGTGTATGCGAAACCAAGCGATTATGCAAGGGCACACTCAGACCAGTTTAAATCCAGCTGCGAAGCTCCATGCCCACTCTTCTGTAGTGCCTACGGGTCGTGCTTCATAGTCAGGGAGCTGGACTCAGAGTCGCAGATTTTTACTCCAACATGGGCGTGTTGTCCCAGCCTGCTTGCTGGGCGCCTGTCCTGACCAGACTTCTCATCATCAAGGCTACTTGGAGGGTAGGGGGACTTGTAAGTAGACTTATAAGTACCCTAAACGGGACCCTAATTAGGGTTATGATACTTATAAGTCCTTAAAGTAACCAGTTACTACGTCCCCCGACCCTCCAAGTACGATGGCGGCGGCTCATGCAAAGAGTTCATAGGGCACTTCCTGCTGCCGCAAGGCACCAGGAGTGCTGCAGCTGAACACTTGGAAGTATCGGGTCAAAAGAGGCATTGTCTCATGTGTGAATCCCCAAACTTCACAAAGCTTTACTAAATACGAACACAAGGCTGGCAGGAAATTTGCATAAACCAACTAAGCAAAAAAAACATGGGTTTGCTCCATCTCATGTTAGTGCACGCTTGCCAGGCTCCCACCCCAAGGATGAATTCCGCGTGGCAGCTTTTCCTGCCGCGTTACACATAATTGCCTTCTCTGCCTTTGGCGGCCGTGTCAGCAGGATTATGTCATCAAAACTCTAAACGTCCGGGGGAAAGTCAGTGCAGTGAGGTTCTACGTATGCACGGCTTTTCTTGCGGCTCGAATCTGGAAGCTTTCCCCAGGACAAATTACTTCAGGTCCTCACCATCATTTTCATCAACAGATGAGAAATCAGGACCCAGCAAGGCGCCCATGGGTGTATAGTGCAAGTCTGCACCCAAACCTCGAGATTCATACATCCGCCGGACCGTTCGTCTTGGGCTCTGCAAGAAAGGAGAAACTAAAGAGACCAACTGAGGATCCTCCTTAGCAATTTCGTCCCGATGCTCGGGCGGAACGAAGCCATCTCTGTGCACCATGGTTGGGTCGTATCTGCCCGCATCGGCATTTGTGATTCCGAGGAAGCTTCGTTCTTGCTCGATCGCGGCACCAAGCTCGCCGAAGAGGCTCCCTGCGAAAACCTCAGCATTGCCGGCTGTTATGGTGTAGACTATAGCGTTTTGGGTGTAGGTTGGTCCACACCAAACACATCAACAAGAACAGCAATAAGACATGTCTGAGTGAGCTGCAACCTTGTTTTAGGTCAACACAAGCCGTGCAAAGTCTCTGTAGAGCCCAAATCGGGCTCATTTTGAGCTTTGGGTGCAATCCTCTGGAAAACTCCTGAAAGGTCTGTTGACAATGCCATTCGCAAGTGTGGTAGAGAATCCCTGACCAGGGACATGGACAGCCACGGGCAGCGTCACCTCCGAGACCGGCTCCTCCGAACTAATGCTTGGAAGATCATGGGACTTAGTAACTAGGGTTACAAGGAAGGTATATAAGTATAACCCCAGTTGAGGTACGTATAATTGAGCGAAGGTAACTATACTTATAATTACTTATAACTCCATTTAAGGTAATTATAACCTTAGTTACTAAGGGGTCCGGAATTATTTGAGGAATTTTTTTTGTTTTATTTGGGGAATTTTTTTTGTTTTTAGCTTTTGCTTGGGAAAGGGGGGGCAGGGAGGGAGGGAGGGAGGGAGGGAGGGGGGAGGGGAGGGAGGGAGGGAGGGAGGGGGAAGTGGCCGGCTTAAATAGGGTTTATTTGGAAGCTGTACTCGGGTTTTGGAGTAGTCACAGGCTCTCCAAGGAAGCCCCAGCCCCGGCTCCAGTCCTGGCCCCAGGCTCGGCCCCAGTCCCGACCCCAGTCTCACAGGGAGGGGCGCAAATTCGTGGATGACTTTGTAATCTTCACTACAACCTGCGTATAATACATGGATAGGCAACTCGCTTCCAGACGACCCATGTATCCGACTTGGCCGGTGAGAGAGCACTATTCCATGCATCATGTCGGCTCACACGAAAAAAAACCACCCGGAATACCCAGACAAGCGTACAAAAGTGTGGCAGGCGCAGCCAAAGAGTGTGCTTCGACCTTTCCCAGCGATCATGTGGCAGGAGAAAAACCAAACACGAATTCGTGTCCAGTTGTTTTGGACGTCCTAGCGGACCATCAGTGCTATCATCATCGATATCAACATCGTTATCACCATCGCAGTCACTATCGATAGCGCCATCATTTTCACCATTCTCGTCATCATCGTTATCATCAGCGTCAGCAATCTGCTGAGCAGTCGACTTTTTGTGTGCAAGGAAAAGCCGGCCTGAATTTATTCTGTGGACCTGGGCGGCTAAGCTAGTATTGCAGCAGAATGCGAGAACACTAGTGGGGCCGATGACTTTCAAGGTCGCGGCCAGTTTGGCGAGGTTTGTGAGTGGAAAGTGCAAAAGGTCTCGGCACAGTCACCTTTACCAGATTGCCATGTCGTCATCATTGCTATTGTGAGTACTATCATCATCGTCATCATCATCGTTATCATCATCGCCATCTCCCAGTGAAAGATATCACATCGGAAGAAGCCAGTCGCGGATGTTTTCGTAGCCTTTCATGCAGAAGTCCGCGGTGCACGACTACACCTCCTTGGACCGGCGACCGGGGCGAATCACCGGACTGAGGTTCCTCAGTCGAAACGGTGTTCGCCGGGTTGGCTTGCTTCGCGGCAAGCGCGGAGCCTTCGGCTTGCTGCTGGAAGCACGAGCCTCGGGCAAGGAAGCAGTCGCTTTGTCTCGAAGTGCGACACGGACACGCCGTCCTTGCTTCAAAACATGCAGAGCAGCTCTTGCCGGCGTGGCACCGGGAGCCTTAAGCTGCCGACACCACGTCCGCCAGGCAGCTTGCGGTAGCATGAAACGAACATTAGCTTTCATTGCCCGTGATGCTATCTCGGACTGATCTGCTTGCCTCTGGAGAGGCCTGTACAAGGCCTGATTGTGCGTGAACAGTTTCACAAAGTGAAACAAATTCAGCTTCATCCCGAAAGTGGATTTGTGCAAAGCCGCCTCGGGGTGATTAGCAGACACAGGAAGCATGCCCTGCGTCGGAAAGGCACATGTTCGTTGCAGCCGAGCAGCAGTCTCTCGGAACCAATGATTGATCTCGTGATGGAGACTTTCATTGGAGGTGGTGCCGCTTGGTAGGAGCGTTAGTTCACCTGGATGTACGGCATGTCGGTGGCGAGTATCGTTGAACAACCACTGGACCTTGACTGCGGACGCCACGTTGATGATGAGGCGATGCAGCGAAGCACCAGAGTAAGTAGTTTTACTGACCTCGTCAGCGAACAGCGACAGATGGGCCACGCATGCTTCGAGGAAGTCAATCTCCGTCAGCCACGGCGTGTCTGGATTCAACTTCTCCAGCAAGTTGTGCGCCTGAGCGTGTGACATGTCCGGTTTCTCCAGTCGGAGTCGCATGCAGCGAACGTCCACACTGGCAGGTGGCAGCGACTGCCCAGTTTAGAACGGTCCCCAGGCTGCTGCTGTGCGGGCCGCATCTCGCTTGCGGAACTTGTCCATGATGACGGCGAGCCACCGACTGCCATGAGTTTTCTTGTTACTCATGTTCTGCTGGTACACCATGATAATATGCATGGCGTCCAGGGCAATGCTCTCCAGATGGGGCAACACTTGTCTGAGGACGCGGAACATCTCCGGTGACGGATTATCAGAAGCCACATGCTGCACCTGGGTCCTCTGCTGAAGAGAAAGCTCGTTTGCCAAGGCATCGGCGATGACACTAGCCTTCTCGGAGCGAACCATGG